AGCAGGGACAGCAAGAAGCATATTGAAATGCAGGTGTGGTACCACACTGAATGCCTATGAGAGTGTCTATGAGCCGTGACTAGAACCCAGCACCAGGGAGGAGCCCCTTCCCTCCACATAAGAGGCTCAGAGTGGGGTGTGGCATCCAGCCAATGGCCACACCCTTGGAAGATGCCAGAACCCAGTCTTGTGTTCAGTCATCTCCACGCAGTTGGGGGAAGCCTGCATGCAGTCTGCTGCCATTCAGAGGGGAGGTGGTGACTGGGAAAGTGAAGGAGTCCCTCCCCCCTTCTTTCTGTCTCATTCTCCATCGCTCTTTTTACAGAGGGTCTCTCTCCCTCTGTAGCCCATGCTGGTTTGAAACTCATTGTGCATTGCAGGTTGACCTGGAGCTGTTAAACCTCCTGAATACTGGATTATAGATATGATCCATGTCCCTTGACTCAAGGAGTGTTTTTTATTGTATATGTGTGTGTGCCTATACTTGTGCGTGGGTGCACATGCGTATGTGGGTACTTGTGTGCATAGGCCTGAGGTTGACATCTAGTGTCATCCTCGGTTGCTCTGAGGCAGCGTCTCTGCCAGAGTTCACTGACTCTGTGATCTAGGTACCTAGCCTGCTCAGGGGATCCCATCCCTGCCAATCAGGCACTAGGATTACAAGCCGGCCATATGGTGTTTGCTGGGGATCCAAACTCCCCGGCCTCAAGCTTGTACCCACTGAGCCATCTCCCGAGCCTGAGGATTTTGCTTTGAAGCAGATTTTTGAAAGCCATAGTTGGAATTGCATTTAGCGCCACCTTTGGTGGTTTTATGAGCAGATCCCTAGGTAGAGACCTGAAAGTGAAGGGAGCCAATTTCAAAGTCAAGGAGACACCCCCACCTGGCTGAACTTGGGGTACAGTTTGGCTTGGTGGCCAGCAGAGGGCAGGGCTGGCCTCCCGCTCATCCAGCTGCCTTCCAGAGGTGATTGTCTTGATTCTTTGCTGTAGTTCTGGAGTTCTAGGTATTTCTTCCCTCTATCCCTCTTTGACTGGTTCCCTGAGAGTTTGGCTGAAGGGGGCAACTGGAGTTCTTTTTAGGTATCTGAAGTTTGCTGCTACCACTGAACTGGACGGACTTGTGGACTGGCAGAATAGGTATAACTGAGCTCACTCTACAAATGGGGGAAACAGACCCAGCGAAGGGTTGCACAGCTGTGTGAATGTTGGACCAGAACATGTCTGTCCTGCCCCTGTGGCTTGTGCCCTTACCACCACTCATCCTGATGGCGCAGACACCCCCATGGTATTAGAGGAAGGCAGCGGAATCTCGTGTGCCCACTCTAAACATCCCCCTCTTTTGCACCCTTTCCCCTTCTCTGATCCTCCCACCCAGAGAATGGCATCCCACCCACCGACTGTCACTACTAGACTCAATGGTTACTCTAAATCCCCCACCAGTCTAGTTAACCATCCGAACATCAGATTGGGCTTCTCTCCTCCTCCTACCCTCCCCGTATCCAATCTGTCTCAAGCCAACTTGCTCACCTCCTCTGCCTCCTCCAGACTGGCCCCAGCCACTGCCATGCCCCTCCTGCCTGCTTGCCAGCCTCCTAATCCACTTCCCCTTGCCCTACCAACAGCAGCCAGAGGATCCTTTGGAGACCCACTTCTGCCTCCAGTGGATTTGCTGCATCCTTAGAACAAAAGAAAAACTCCGAGGATGCTGAACACTGGGGCTGGGCTCTAGAAGGATGCAGGGCACTGAGTGGGCCTTGCAAGGATCCAGGACACTGACTGAGCCGGGCCCTGACCCTCTGCAGTGCTGTTCTTTCTGCAACAATGGCACAGCTCCATGCTGCCCTTCCTGGTCTTTGCCCAGGCTCTCCTACTGCCTGGGTGCACCCCATATGACCTTGGCTGGTGTTTTCTTTGTACCTCTGTCCTCTGCATGTCACTTCTTCAGAGGCCTCTTGCCCTCATTGATTGATTGATTGCTTATGAGTTAACCCTGTGTTCTCTGCGGGTCCTGAAGCTCCACAAAACCAATGATCTTGTTTTGTTCATTGGTCTTTTCCTGGGAAATCACTGGTTTGGGCCCAGAGTAGGTGCTCATGAAATCTTTGGATGGGTGGATGTGTCTTTGTATCTCCATTTTCTGTAAGAAGACAGCAAGCTTTAGAGACATGGGTGGGGATTGGTCTTCCCGTGGGCCTTTTCTTACCACTCCTGTGTGTGTGCACCCCTGTGTGTGTGTGCACTCTTGTGTGTGTGTTCACTCTTGTGTGTGCACTCCTGTGTGTGTGCACCCCTGTGTGTGCACTCTTGTGTGTGTATTCACTCTTGTGTGTGCACTCGTGTGTGTGCACTCCTGTGTGTGTGCACCCCTGTGTGTGTGTGCACTCGTGTGTGTATTCACTCTTGTGTGTGCACCCCTGTGTGTGTGTGCACTCTTGTGTGTGTATTCACTCTTGTGTGTGCACTCGTGTGTGTGCACCCCTGTGTGTGTGCACTCTTGTGTGTGTTCACTCTTGTGTGTGCACTCCTGTGTGTGTGTGCACTCTTGTGTGTGTATTCACTCTTGTGTGTGCACCCCTGTGTGTGTGTGCACTCGTGTGTGTGTTCACTCTTGTGTGTGCACTCCTGTGTGTGTGCACACAAGTGCACACTCACTTCTGTGTGTGCACCTTTTTGTGTGCACACTTCTCTGTATTTGTGGGTTCCTTTGTGTGTGTGAGCTCCCGTGTGTGCTCCTGTGTGGGTGTACTTTGTATTTCTGTGCAGCTATGTGGGTGTGAGCTCCTGTGCGGGCAATCCTACATGTGTGCATCTCCTCCAGTGTATGCATTCCTATGTGCAAACACCTCTGTGTGTGTGTGTGTGTGTGTGTGCACGTACACACACTTATACCTGTGCTTCATGGAGGTGCCCCTGGACTGATTGCCCTGAGACTGCTTGGCCGTTTCCCATCCCTCATGACAACAACACTGGTCTTCAGGTTACTGTGAGTGGGGAAACAGCTCTGGTTTTCTGACCCTGGACTAACCCCACTGTTGTCCTCTGAGGGAACGTCCATCTGATTGAGTGGGACCAGGCAGGTGAGGGTCCCCAGCAGGTGAGAGGGGCCACCCAAGCTTCAGATCCAAGCTCAAAGGACACCTTTATGCACATTACTGAAATAAATGGCAAGCATAAAGCTCATTCATGTTACATATACAGTCATGAAACCATTGCCATAGTCCAAATTTATGTCACTTGAACATGTCTAGCATTTCCTCTAGCACTGGCCACTTAGCAGTCTCCCCTGTCCTGCCCCCTACCTGCATCTTACCCCCAAGGCTTCATTCTGATTCTGTGAACATTTCCTCACAATAGGGTCACAGGATATATGGCCTTTTGTGACTGGCTCCTCTCACAAATGGGACATTTCTTAAAACCCTTCATGTGGTGGTCTTCCTGGCCACTTCATTACTCTGTTTTGTTTACAGACAGGGTCTTGGTATATAGCCCAGGTTAGCTTCAAACTCCTACAAGCCTCCTGTCTCAGCCTCCTGAGTGCAGGGATTATAGGCATGAGCTACCACCTGGGCTCTTCGTTCCTTTCTATAGCTGAGCTCTGTTCCACAGTTTGGATGAACCATATGGAGTTCACCCACCATTGCTCAATGGGTGTCTGGGCTGCTTGTGCTGTCTGGCCATCATGTAGTCTTGTCTCCTGTAGGGTCTGGGCTTCCCATCCATTTTGTTCTGGCCAGAATCTTGTAGAGGGAGGGAAAGACGGGGCTGGACTCTCACGCCAACACCCTGGGGTTATTTGAGGCCGGAAACTCCTTGGATGGGTGTGGTCAGATTCTCAGTGCTTGGGCCAATCATGGACTGAAGACGACCTACTTCAAAAGCTAAAGGCTCACCTACCTGTCATGTACCCAAAGCACTTTATTATTTTCTGTTGAACAGTAGAGGTGGTGTTACTAGATTTGAATTTTATAAACCTTTTTATTATGGAACCTCAGCTGTCCATACCATGCTAGGTACTCTGGGATCCAGAAAGCATCCCGCACCCTCTTCCTCCCTCTTCCTCTGGAAGGGAGGAGACCCTGAAGCCAGGGTGGTGCCTTCTCCAGGCAACTCCAGGCCTATCCTGGCAGTGGGTCTCACAGGCGGTCCTCTTGTCCTACGTCGTCTTGTAGGGTTGGTGATGATGGTGGGGACCTCATCAACCAGGCTGGGTGACAAAGCACAGTCCCTGCCCCTACTCCAACCCCTTATTTGGTTTTCTTACACTTCCCCACCCCTGGGGAGGGGAATTTCCTGTGCTCCTGCCTAGTACCTCTGAAAAATGTGAGAATTGCCTATTAGCACCTTGGGGGGACACCTCAGCTAGTGGCAGCCCTAGGGTGTCCCCTTGTGGGCCTGGTCTCCCCAAGCTTCCTCAAAGGCTGTCTAGGAGAAGAGCCCAGGAAGTCACCTGTGCCTTGCTCAGTGGCTGAGGACCCCAGAGGGGAAGGGGATGGTGCACCACAGTCTCTGTCCAGGTATTGTGAGTGTAAAGTCTGGGACTGCATCTTTTCCACCAGGGAGATGAGGGGGGACTCACCACCGCCACCAACCCTAAGAGGATGGGCCTGTGAGACCCACTGCCTGGGGCTGGCGCTGCCTGGAGATTTGCCTCCAGGAGAGGCACCGCCCTGGCCTCAGGGTCCCCTCCCTTCCAGCGGAGGGTGAGGAAGAGGGGCGGGATACTTTCTGGATCCAAGAGCACCGGGCATGGTATGGGTGGCTCATCACCCAGGATTAAGTCCCTATCTCCCCCTGGCCCTGTGCAGTCCAGGTATTGAGACTCCTCCCCGTAACCACTCATTTTCACTCCCAGATCCGTGACGTCATGCTCCTCGCGTGGCATGATGGGAGAATCCTAATGTTTTCCAACAGATGCTCCAAGAACAGCTTTCAG